TCCTGGACTGGGATCCTGGAACAGAGAAGGACATTCGCAGGAAAACTGAGGAAGTCTACATAAAGTCTGTAGTTTACTCAATAGTCTTATATCAAAGTGAATTTTCAGTGTTGATTAATGTCTCTTGGGTATATAAGACCTTCACGTTAGAGGAAGCTGGGTGAGGGTATGTGGGGACTCTCTCTAATATCTGCAGCTTTTCTGTGAACCTAAAATTGTTCCAAAATTAAATGTGAGTGTGTACAATACCAAAAAAAGCATAAAAAATGAATGCCAGGAAAAGGATAAAAATAAGTTAAACAGAGTCAACCCTAACATAGTAGGATTGAGGCTGAGGAAGCTCACGTGGGTTCCCAGCCTTTGGCTTCTTGTTGCCAGATCATGATCATGGTCCTGGGCACAGGCTGGGACAGGGTTGGGAGTGGGTCATACGCCCACTGAATCCTTACAAATGCGTACAAAGTCGAGAGAAGTCAACATCCGACTGATCTGCAACTAGAATGTTCTATTACCCAGCTCATTTGTCCGTCAAAATAATGGTAAAGTGGAAAGATCACACGATTTAGAAATAGAAAAACTGCGTTCAAATCCTAAGTCTCAAACAACTCCTTAGTTAAGTCCATCAGCCTTACTGCAGCACAGCTTCCTCATCTGCAAATACAGATAACATCATCACATCTGCCTCATCCACTCCCAAAGCTTTGGGGAACCTTAAAGGAGACCACGTAAGTCAAAGGACTTGGCAAAATGCACCCAATGTGGTCCTGCAGGACCTTCTGCATTCTCTAAGAGATGAAATTATAAACCAAATACCTTTAATAATTAACTGACTTTAGTTAATTGGTATTCTATGGGATTACGGGAAACTTTGCCATAATAAGAATATTTAATTCATTGCAAAGTCTTCCTCCTCCGTGATGCCTGAAAACAGAGGGCTTTCTACAGTGGATTTCAGATATACTAGAAGAACACACAGAACTGAGTTCACTTTGTTTCTGGGGATTTTATGATTTCAATACAGAACAGGCAAATTGAAAAACACTCTTCACTTCCTCATCTGTAAAACACAGGGATTGGCAGGTGATCGCCAAAAATTCTTAGGACACCTATGTTCTTCCAAAGAAGCGATGATTCAAAGCAGTGCTGTCCAAGATTACAGCTGGGGCATAGGGAACAAAATCTATACCATCTGTAAGCTTACTGTAGTTTTCAACACGTCATGTGAAAAAAAGTCTTTATAGCGGACTTTCTAACTATGAACACACCCTGAGGAGACCCCGAGCCCAGTTGTCTCTCTAATTGTAAACTGCAATTTCCTGCTTAGACTCTCTGGGACCTGTCACCACAATAGTCAACCACCAATTGCCAATAATCTAACCAACCACGAACCATAATCAAAAATGTCACTGTGTTTGTTCCTGTCTCAGAAATCACAACTGAGCTCAGTACATTAAAAAAGTGTGTGTGTGTGTGTGTGTGTGTGTGTGTGTGTGTGTGTTTTCTTCACATTAAGGCCTCTGAATTAAGGTGAAAATAAACCTCATCAATTGTTTTCAGGCAAATACATCTGCCTAATTGACTCCAAATAGGCAAAATCAAAGCAATCAACTCAGTTTTTCCAACTTTGATCACTTCATAGGAAAGGAGCTTATAAATCTGGTCCAGATAAATCTGTTACCTATCAGCCTAGAGTAACTACCCAAGCCCAGCTCAAACTCAGTTCAACTGACCATCTTCAGCCAATTCTTTCTCTCCGAGACGTTTATATAGATCTTATCACGATCCTCACTCAGGGTTTGGCGTCAGGGCTGCCAAAAGAGCAACAATAATTTTAAAAAGATAAAAACCTCATGCTAAATCCCACATTTACCAGCCCTGGAGTGCTAAAAGAACCTTCCATACACGTTCCTGGATGCATCCTTCTGCTTTATGAACTGGAACCACTGACAGGTGAGAGTCTTCCCTCCCTCTCCCTCAGTCTCAGAGTGCGTCCCCTGGGAGCAGCGTAGCTCTGGCCACGTTTGGGCATGAGATGAACAAAAACACCTGGTGTGGCATCGCTGATCCACCAACCCTCATGAGTGTTTTATTTCCTGCAAATTGACAGGTTTGAGTAGGCATATTCCTAACCCATGCCCAATGTGTTTGGGATTCAGATCTTTCAGATATTTGAGGATAACAAAGCTTGTACACTGAGTACCATGTAGCATCCCCAGGGAAGGCTGAGGAGCCACTCCATCAGACATATTATCACTTCAGTGAAACAGATGAATTTTCACACTCGGATAAATAAAGACTATTAATAGCCCCACATCAATTCAGGACAAGTTCTGTCCTCAAATGCATTGTGAAAAAAAAATTCACTTTCAAGAACTTCTTGGATTTGGGAGTTGAGGTCAATGGACCATGGACCTGTAGCAAATGTAGTATTTGAGTGTGAGAAGGGAACAAGGGAAGAAAATTCAAATTATTTTAGTGCCGTTCTATCTAATATTTCTTCATTTCCAATAGTTATAAGAAGGCTTTGAGGGCTGATTCTCTCTAATAGAGACCTTGGCGTCCTATCTTCAAAAGGACCCCTGTAAGCAGACAGCATGTGTGTGTGCTTCCAGTGTAGACTCTACAGTAATTTACTGCTTCCAAACTCCATCCAATTTCTTTTATAGTGTTCATAGTTTCAGAAGGCAGTTGTGCTCAAGCCTGAAATGGCAGCCCACCTGGCTCCATTTATCCCCTTTCATGCTAAGGACAACGTAACCCAAAACTTTTATCCTCCACCTTCAAACATTTCACACGGACCATTTGGGAAATTTACTGTCGTCTGAAAGAGCCTTGTCTTTTTCATTCAGTGTATCCCACAACAAAAGCCAGCGCGGTACCTGCCGGCCATCTGGTCTCTGTGTGTATACCAGGCCAAAATTTCAGATTTCCTCCTTGGAGTTTGCTCTGTAGAAGACGAATCCGATTAGGTGAAAAATAATGCTGGAAGAGTTACAAGCCATTATTCTGAGCACAAACGACATTTTCTTTAACAAGCGTTCCCAGTCTAAATAAGCTTTGAACTTCAGATCTGCCTGGTGCTGGGGTTTGTTTGCAGCAGTCATATAGCCAACATGACGATGCCTTTGGCTGAGACCCAGATACTTGTAATCAGCAAAGCTGTGGTGTATGAAACAGATTGGAATGGCCCTTCCCTCTCCATGTCAGAAATTTCCAGAAACCTAACCTAGTGATTCCAGCACACAGCAAACAAAATTAAACCAAGCTTTGTTGTGTTATAACAGCCAGCATCTACGAGTAATTTGAAATCTAACAGGGTCTTACAACAATAAATAGGGAAAGATTCACCTTTTGAGAATATATAGGATGATAGATAGTGACAGCATACGATGGGGAGAGCTCATGAGGCTGACAAGCCACTTTAGGCGTTTATTAACGATTATTTTTTCCTCCAGATTACTGTTTCTCAACTCGACCTGCACATTAGGGCCGTCGGAGACACTTTATAAAATCCCAATGCCCACCCCATAGCAGAAATTAAAGCAGAAACTCGAGGAGTGAGTTTCGGACATGTTTATTTTTAAAAGCTCTCCAGGTGATTCAGATGTGCAGCCAGGTTTGACCACAGCTCTGAGCCCTTCGTTCATTCAGTCACTCAACAAATATATATTGAGCACCGCCTGTCCTGGGACTGACTGTAGGCACTGGGGATTCCGAAAACAATCTGCAGAGCGGCTGGAGGATAGTCACCAAAGGTCACAGGCGGTGTTGGATGGAGCGCGGGAGCCGGGTCACCAGAACCTTGGAGGACTTTGGATTCACGCTAAGTGCAGCGGAAAGCCCAGGGGGGCACGTGATCTGACATACAGGTTAAAAGAACATTTTGGCTGCCCCTTGGAGACTATCAGTAAAATTAAATTAAGCCCAAGGACAGAGCAAACCACAAGTTTGAGGAGGAAGACGGCGGAACTCCTGAACACCTGCCTTCGGCCCTGACCCCCAGCGCAGTGCGCCTGCTCTTCACAAAGCCAGGGTCCCGCGGGGCCACGCTGGCGTGGGTTACTCCGGCTCCCGCCCCTTGGTGACTCCCCACTGCTAGGAGGAGCTTCCTCTGCTGCTAGACCGGACCCCCTTCAGAGCACGGCACACGCTTCTCAGCTTGATTGTGCACGACGGACGGCTCCCAGCTCGGGCATCACTTGGTGAGAGGAGGATAAGCAAGTGCGAGCACGCCGCTTCCCAGCCAGACACGTGCGCGCCGCGCAGAAACGCTAACCCTGCTGCCGGCTCCCACTAAGGCTGCGAGCTCCCTGTCCTGCTGGGTGACGCTAAGGGGAGGTCCCGCGTCTCTCTTGTAAATTGCAATGCACGCGTTTCCCCTGCGGTGTGAGAGTCACCACACAAACAGGATACGCGGCCACTGGTGAAGTAGGAACCCAATTTGTGTTGTGTTTGTAACCAGACAACGGCTGACAGTCAGGGGCGCCGCCCGGGGAACCGCAAAGAGCAGAGAGGACACAACTAAGAAACACGGCCTGCCCCGCCAGCGTGTCTGGTTTCCACTGCCCCAACTTTTTAGCTGAGAGGGTCCTGAAGGGCGCAGGCGGCACCGGGAAGTCCAGGCCGGGAGTCTGGCGGCTCCAGAGGCCCCTGCGCAGAGGGCGCCAAGGGAAGGAGCGCGCCCTTAAGGTTGCTTTTCACCATTTGGAACCATCACTTCTTACACCTTACCTAGCAATTGTGAGACAGGCAAAGAGGTTTTTGTAAGCTGCAGTCATTGAAATATGTGCACAAAAATAATTTAATTACCGTGAATCAGAAACATGGTAATAGCCAGCCCCCTTTCCCGTTGATACCATTGTATTTATAATTTTGATGACACAATTTTCTTGAGAAGGCAATTTTCTCTTGATGCAGAATATTAAAAAAGTTAAAAAATCATTTGAAATGAGGCAAACTCTGCTGTAAAGTTCTATTAAATTTAAGCATACATATTCTAGAAAATTCGTACATTGCCATCTACAGACAGATAATACCTTTGGTTAGTGATTTACTTATATTTGAAACAATAGCTCCAATTGATAATATAAATTAATCAATTATTCAACAATGGTGCACTGGGCGCCTATTCTGCTCAGGGATGTACAAGGAATATGACACAGCATTTCTGCTCACCCAGAGCTCATCGAGCATGGCCCTCCTGCTCTCCGTCCCCTCGCTGTTTCATGGCACTTGTCACTACCCAACATCACGGATTTGTTTATTTATTGTCCTGCTCCTCTGCTAGGCTTGGGGAGGAACTGACTTATTTAATGCTGTCTCATCATCTCCATATCATCGTCTGGCTCATAACTGGCTTTCTGTAAATACCTGCTGAATAAACCAGGGAATGAATGAACTCAAGGTCATGTACCTCGTAAAAGACAGAGCCCATGCTCTAGCCCAGACCGGCTGCCTGCGGAGCTCACGCTCTTCCCAGTGTTCACAGATCCTTTACTCATGATCCCCTGGGTGAGGAGCAGCCTACGTCCTCTACAGTGGTGCCCGGTCAACACCGTGATATAACCAAGAAGATAAGTTTTCAAATTACTATAAATGATGCTGGAAATTGCTGTTACCATCATTTTAGAAGGAAAAAACCCCAGGACACAGCATGAGAAAAATTACTGAAAGACAGTTATAAAAACAAAGACTGGCGGAAAACGCTGAAATACTTCACTCTGGATGAAGGGATTGTAGTAACTTTTGCTTTCTTTTTACTTTTCTCTCTTTTCCAAATGTTCTATTAAGGTCATGTAACCACTTACATAACCATAAAAAGATCATTTTTAACACCAATGTAGAATTTCGGTGGAATATAATAGCCCTCACTCTGTGTAAGGAAGGGGGGGACACCCTCCAAAGGTGGTTGGGAGCGAGATTATAGAAAATCTCTCCTGCCGACTGAGTCCATCTTCATCTCAAGGTACAAGGGAGCCATCGAGGGTGCTTGAGTCGACATGACAGTGCTGTTGCTGCTCAAAACCTGAGTAATTATGAGAAAAGGGCACAGCCAGAGCCCTGATTAACCGCCGTGCTCAGCGTCCCCCTGCTGATGTGCCCGTAATTATCTTACAGATTCACACAAGAACACATTTACTTGCCAAAAAAGTGCTTTGCTAACAAATTTTGCCACTGCAAATGTGGCAGTGTCCCACGTGCCAACACCTTTCAGAGGAAGACTCTGACCCTCTTAAAACTACCAGAAACTAAAGATTGTATTTCAATGTAGGAGTTCAATTAGGCATTGGTTTTCTCTATTTCTATTTATTCCTTGTGAAATAAATTTGTGATAGGGAATTGGGATACAATATAGGAATATGCTTATTGTTCCTTGAGCGTTTCTTGTTAAAATTTTGTCTTGTTAGATTTTTAGGACTGGGAATTTTCCAGTTTACTTTTTTTGCATATTTTTAGTATGAAATTTTTGGTTTTCTAGCTCTATATCTGGAAGCCAGTCAGCCGGGACATCACAGAAGCTGAAAGTAACAGACATACTGCCATAAACATAGATTCTTACAAAATCACCAGACTGATTAATCAAACTCTTACTTTTTTTTTTGAGAAATAAACATCTATGAAAATTTTAAAAATCAAACATATAATAATTCTCCTTTCTAAGCAGGGATTCAGAAGCCTCATGAAAATAGTTCTAAGCTTTTCGTTCTGAAAAGGACGGGCGATTTACATAAAAACTGCCTTTCCAGCTGTTCCACGATGGAAACTGGTACTGTTCTTCCCCATCTAGCTTACAGGTCAACTTTTTGTGAGGCCGACTACATTAGAATTCTTTTGGCTTCAAGTGAAAGAAATCCAATTCAAACTGGCTTAAGAAAAAAAAATGGTTCATATAATTAAGAAGTCAGAGGGAATTTTGACTTAAGTCCTACAAGCTTAGCAAATCCAGCAGAAAAAGTATACCTTTTTCCTAACGGTTCCATCAGGAATCCTAGATTTATCTGTCACAAGACTTGGCTTCTGCCCATCTCTGAACCCATCGCTGAGACTGGAGCATGTAATGCTCTAATTGGTCAGAGAGGATCCTCTCCTAGCTGCCAGGCAGAAGATCAGCTCTGGGCAAAGAAATAACAGGAAAGAAGGGCAAAGGCTTACAATCAAAAGAGTGTGGAGTTCCTGGGGAATTACAAACTCAACATTCAGGAAAAATATTTGGAAAGAAGGAAAATGTCGAGATGAGGTGGCAGAGTTAGGCAGACTGGGTAATGAAGGACCTTGAATGTCGTGCTCAGGAGTTTGGAGTTTATCCCTCAATCAGGAGGGCAGCAATTGAAGGATTTAAAGCAAGGGAGTAGTATGAGCATATGTGCCTCATTAGTTAGATCATTCTGAAAGCTGGGTGAGAAAAGGATTGGAAGGAGGAAAGTCTATGTATTTTTTGACCTATATTAGAACACTTACACTATTAAATTGTAAGCCAATTGGTACAGCCACTATGGAAAAAACAGTATGGAAGTTCCTCAAAAAACTAAAAATAGAACTACCATACTATCCAGCAATTCCACTTCTGGAAATACATCCAAGGGAAACAAAAACACTAACTCAAAAAGATATGCACTCCCATGTTCATAGCAACATGATTTACAATAGCGAAGACATGGAAATAATCTAAGTGTCCATTGATGGATGGATGGATAAAGAAATTGTGGTAAAAAAAAAAAATACACAGTGGAATATTATTCAGCCATAAAAAAACAAGGAAATCCTCCCATTTGCAACAACATGGATGGATGTTGAAGGCATTATGCCAAGTGAAATATGTCAGACAGAGAAAGACAAATACTGTATGATCTCACTTATATGTGGGATTTAAACAAACTCATAGAAAAAGAGATCAGACTGTGGTTACCAGAGGCAGGCGGGGGTGGGGGGGATTGGAGGAAGGTGGTCAAAAGGTACAAGCTTCCAGTTACAAGATAAATAAGCCCTGGGGATGTGATGTACAACATGGTGACTGTACAATATACAGGAAAGTTGATAAGATAGTAAACCCTAAGAGTTCTCGTCATAAGGAAAACTTTTCTTTTTTCTTTCTATTGTTTCTATATGAGAAGTTAGCTGAACCTATTGTGGTCATCATTTCACAAGATACGTAAATCAACCATCATGCTACACGCCTTAAACTTACACAATGATACATGTCAATTATTTCTCAATAAAACTGTATAAAAAACCTGTAAACCAGTGTTTACGTGTCTGCTTTCTCCACTTGACTGTCAGCTCCTCAAGGGCAAGGCCAACTCTTTATCCGTGTTTGTAGCCCTAATCTGTCACTCTAGACCCTTAATGAAATAATTAAAATAAAAGGAAAATTATTTTTCAATGAAATGACTGTATTTTCTATATAAATCAGATATGAAGGGAGAAGATATTACTGCAAATTCTATGCTTCCAAAAGAAGCTATAAAATTTATCTTGGATTAGTTTCCAGACATTAAATTGTACTGAACCTAAGCCTTACACAAAAATTTCTTTGCTGGACTGAAAAGTTTGTCTTTGCTCTAGAGTGTTGCAAATTTGGTAGCTTACGTTCCAGTTTATATTCTTCGTTTCATGCTCTACACCAGGAGTTGGCAAACTTTTCTTACTCTTTGTGGGTCAAATGGTTTTCTTACAGCAATTCAAATCTGCCATTTAACAAAAAACCAGCCGTGGGCAATTCATAAACAAATAGGTGTGGTTGTGTTCCAATAAAACTTTATTTATGTGCATTGAAATTTATATTTCATATAATTTCACATATCACAAAATGTTATTTTTCTTTGTTCTCTTACCAACCATTTAAAATGTAAAAACCACTCTCAGCTCACAGGCCATAGGAAAATGGGAGACCAAGGGCTGGATTTGTCCTGCAGGCCGTAGGTCCCTGTGCCTACTCTGCCCCAGATCTGGAGACATGGACTTTGCTCCATCAACATCATCCACGAGCGTGTGAGTGTCTGCTGTATGGTCACAGCCTAAACAGCTCCCCTTTGCCAAATTCTGGTCAGATCATATGTTCATTAAATGATATCACAACACTATCATCTTCTATCTTTGCAAAATGGAGTTAAATATTTACCCCACTATATCTTTTAAAGCACTTAAGCCTTATTTATTTAAAGTAAATTAATAAAAACATTTATTATTGTGATCATAAGGTGAGCAAGCCCCCAGCCTAGCTTGATTCTATTTTTATTCTGATTATACTTTAGAATGACAGTCAAGCGAGGTGTCCATGAAAACTTATCTATGCTGGCTGTCCAGTGAGTATACACTCACTTACACTTATTTACTGTATTTATTAGTTGTCAACTTATGATTTACTTCATGAGTAAGTAGGAAGCCAGCATGTTATTTAAGCAATGTGGGCATGTCCTCCTGCCCCTAATACCTCCCTTTATCCTAGCATCGTCCCCAAAATACTAGACATTCATTTGTTTGGATCTCAATCAAGTATTCTCTCCATTTCGTAGGACTCTCAGCCTTATTTTCTAACACCTTAAAAGATAAAGAATAGCCGTCAATTAGAAACAAAAAATACACATAAGGTTGAAACTCCAGACATGGGATCCAAGTGTGACCACAGGGTAAGAAGAGGATAGGAGCAGCAGTGGGAAGGAGGGCAGTGGGGAGGGAGATCTGAAGCAGAAGGAGGCAGCACAGAAGAAAGACATTTCTGACTTCACAGTTATGTCCAAGATGGTCCCCATCGTCCTGGATTTCCTTTGTGAGTCAGAGCATAATGTTTCAATTCTTAAAAATATTAGCTTTCCTTTTCATCTGACTCCACCCGTTGATAAAATTACTAAGGAAATAAATGGAATTATTCTTATTTCCTGAGCCTTTTATCCCCTTTCAAAGGGTCAAGTTCCTAAAGGATGGTGATAAGTGAACCATGGCAGACCAGTTTGTGGAAATTTTTACTTGACCTGTAACAGCTTTATAAATAATTCTAAACAGTCATAAAATGACTATGCTTGAAAGATAATTGCTCATTGAGGTGGCAAATAAACTCTGTCCATGCAATTCAGCGAGAATATAATATCCAAAAAAGATTTTCATTTAAAATTATGGTTTCTAGGTATCTTTGTTGGTATATTTGACTAATTATATAACTTTGGATTTTAGAAAGTATACATTTTATATACTTTAAAGGGACAGGAAAAAATACTTTAGTGTTCCAGGATTTTTTTATTTTATTTTTTATGAGGGAACATAGGGAGAGGGCCTAGGGAGGAGTCAGGGTTGGAGAAGACACAATTAGTGTAAATCGAGGAAACAAACTATAAGGGAGAAAGACACCAGTGCTTTGACCCCAAAGTGGCTGAACCGTGATTCCATGTGTGGTAGCAAATGGAAGGGATAGAAGACACAATACACACATAGTGACAGAGGGTTTTATCTTTCTTTGTTTCTCAATAGGATAGTCTTCCTGGTGTCTCTCTTCCATTCATGTATTCCAAAATACTCATTGAATTTATTGAAAACCAACAATTTGCTACATATTACACCAGAAGTTTTAAATACTAGGGTAAATCAAATACAATCCCTGACCCTATAGTCCTGAAAATCTCATTAGTCAGGCACATGGACATGTAAACAAATAATTGTTTACATTATACATTAGAATAAGGTAAAAGATAATATAGGTCTATCTAGTGCACTTTAGACAATATCTACAAAAATGAGCAAGGGATGAGGAAAGAGCCTGTGAAGGATTCATAAAGGAGACCTTTCTGGAGTTTAATTCTATATAGAAATCCAGAGAGTAAGTGTCTGATCTGATTCTAATAATGCTCTGAAGGTATTGCTGGTCTTGGACACTTGGACACAGAATTAGAGATGATGCCATGGACCCAGTCAGTTGGAGGCTGAAGGTGAAAATGCCCGCATCAGCCATGATCCTCAATATACTGCCCTCTCAGTAAAAAGGTAGAAGAATAAAAAGATGGGCTAGTCTAAATTCACCCACCCAGAGATATAGTAGGGAACTTGGTTGCTTCCATTTAGGATCTGGGAGACAAAAGTCTCACTTGAGAATTTGGGATTGAATTTACAAGGGACTGTTAAAATTTGAAGTTTTATACTACCAAAATTATTTGAAAACACCCAAGCCCAAAAATTAGCATGGCAATTTGTCCCAGATGCATGCTATCTCTGTAAAGCACAACCAAAAGCACAAAGAGATGCTCACAGGAAGAAAAAAAATAAAACCTTTCTAAAAATGAGTTCATGGCAAAAACAAAAAAAAAAACAAAAAAACGTATAAAACAATGAGCAAAGAGTTGAGCAAGGGACAACAGACAAATAGAGACCCAAGAAATTGAGAAACACAATCTGAAAGAAAATTAAAAAATAATATATTAAAAATGGTTAAAAATGTAAGAAAAGGCACTGCAATTCTTAAGAAATAAGACTACTATCAAAGAAAAGCAGATTAGATAAAGAAATAAATAATATTTCTAGAAATGAAATATGTTATAATTGATGTTAAAAACAAGATGAATGAGTTAACCAGAATATTAGATACAGCCAAAGAGAGAATTATTGAATTGGAAGATCTAAGATTTCATGGTGCAGCTCAGAGAGTTAAAAGCAGAGAAATAAAAGAGATTAAAATAGATGGAGGCTAGATTGAGAAAGCAAAAAAACATACACACATGCATATAAATAAAAATTGTAGAAGTAAGGTGATCACATAATTTAATATTCCAGCATGTTACAGCATGAAATGAAAGGAGCATTGAGAACATTAAAATTATCCTTTTAAAACATCTCTTTATTGACCTATAAATTGGTTTCATTTTAATGGTTGACCTATAAAACAGTTCTATTCAAAAGTATTTTCAAAAATAAAATTCTTCTAAAATAGTAAAAGAACATATATTCATGTATAATAAGAATAAATGGGTTTGTTTTTTTTTTTTTTTGGTTATCTAATCTCTGTGTCCTCACATGGTGGAAGGGAGTAGAGAGCTCTGTGGGGTCTTTTTATAACAACACTAATCTCATTCATGAGGGTTCCAACCTCATGACCTAAGTACCAGCCAAAGGCTCCACCTCCTAATAATATCACATTGGGCATTAGGATTTCAATGTATGAATTTGGGGGGGGAGCACAAACATTTAGACTACAGCACAGAGTGATATTTTTCTTCAGCAGTTATGTGTCTTTTGATTTTCATGTGGTCTTATATATCACCATGGTCCCTCTGATAGACGGTGAATATCAAAAATAGTTTATGCATGTTACGTGTTCATCATCTACTTCCTTGTGAAACAGAAATTCAGTACCTAATTTTTCATTAAACATGCTCTTTCATTTTTTAAATTAGTTGCCGCTGTAAGGACTTATTGCAGAATAAAAATTATATATACTCTATTCATCAACTTTGACAAGGTCACAAAAAATTCTAAAATTCCATTTGCTTCCAACACCCAGCATCTATTTCTCAATCACGTCATATGTTGATGACTGCAGGTCAGCTATGCCTGCTTAGACTCTGCCAGACTCTGCTCCAAGCTTCTTCTCATTCTGAGACCAGACTGAAGGAGGATTCCTATTTAGTTCATGCCATTCTTGTACTCGGAAGAAGGATAACTAGAAATATTGGTCAGCACCATTAACATGTACCAGCATCCACCCTTATAGACACTGAATAT